TATGGATTATAGATTCTATATGCCTGCCACATGATAGGCCCACAAGAAAAATTTGCTGAATCAGTCAATTAAATTCTATTTTCAAATGAATTGCCTTGTAGTTACAGAAAGATAGCATGGGAAACTGCATGATGAAAATAAAAACAATCCAATAGTAATAAGATCCACCTTTCACAATTATTTATTTAAGAGTAAGCAGATACTGATAGTTTGCTTTAAGGTTTTGCTACTGTGAATTAGAATTTGTAATTACATAAAGATTGGTAAATGTGATTGTTGGGCCTATTGGATGTCCAGGGGTACCAAGAGTGCCTGTTTTATTGGGAGTTCTGTAAGATAATACTAAGGGTATACTTACGGATTCTTAGAATTGTACTGCTTAGTGTAGAAATCACTCTAATTTTAACAGATGAAAAATAAGGTCCAAATGAGGTTTAGAGATGATCCCAAGGTCACTTGAAATCTCAGTCTGTGATATCTAAGAAAATACGTTATTTCACCACACTATCACAAGGCCTATAGATATAAATGCTAACCTGAATAATTTCATGAGTAACTACATTTTAAATTATCTATAACTCCACCAAAAATACTAACCAAAAGAAGAAAATGCACAATAAAATATTCAAGATGCTTTGCTGTTGTTTTCTATTTTTAAAAAGGCTTCAAAATAATAGAAACTTCAGTTGTTCAAGCATAATGTACTTCTATTCAATTAAGCCCCTAAATCCAGATTAACACCAGAGTTGGTTCCAATGAGTGTGTCTTTTTTTTTTTTCTTTCCCAGCCATTCATATTGAATTTTAAATTCATGTTAGCAGTGGCCTATACAATTCAGGGAGGGAAGGAGGGAGAGCGTGGGGTTAATGGTGGTGCTGAAAAAGTTTCTGAAAGAAAGTTTACAATTTAACCTTGGAAGATGAGACTTTTGAAGAGTTCCTATCTCTAAACACCACACAGAGTTGTTTGTGAAACAGTTTAAAAGCGTTTTTAAAAATACATGATTGGAAAGTCCTGACTGACTCCTTACAAGTTGCCATTCAAACAGTGACAAAAGAAAGTGATGAACAATCTTATAGTAGATTTATTCATTTAGAAATGAAAGGAACAGGCTTTTAGAGGCTATGTATTTTTAGTATTCCTATATGAAAAAAACAAGGGAAAGTTATGTTAATATCACAGAAACTTATCCTTTCTGGATGGACTACAATTAAATATTCATTCCAAACTATATTATCTGTGTGCTTCTGTTTATCTGAGTTGTATAAATATTCTTGAAAAATGAATTAATCTATTTAATCTTTGATAGACACAACAGTGAAGGGTTACTCTGGAGAACCAGGATCAAGTCTTTAACATAAATGAATGTAAATATGTGTAATTATTTCCTTCAGATTTATAACAACATTCTTGCTGGTAACAAATATAAATGTAACATTTATTAGGAAATAAGAGACTGCAGACGGAAAT